TTTAACGGTCCTATGTCCAAACGAGGTCAGAGATACCAGGTGTGTGTGTGTGTGTGTGTGTGTGTGTGTGCGTGTGTGAATGTTAGGACTTCATGTGAATTTCAGGGGGACACACTGTGGCCCTGTCTTCCTTTCCTCTGCCGCCCTGCCGTGTCTCTGACACCCTCTCTTCCTCACAGGCTTGGGATCTTCTTCTGCCCGTTACTACCACTAATCCAGATGTTAAACCTCTTCATCATGTTTTACGTCAAAAACGTGAGTCAGACCCAAGTTGCAAGCAGTCAGTGTCCTCAGCCTCGTGCAGCCTGGTCGGGGCTGGAGCTGGTGATCACGGGGAGGGAGGTGGTGCGCGCCTGCTGGTGTCCCTCCAGCTGCAGAGGGCCATGTTTCTTTCTCTTCAGATCAGCCTCATGATGACTTTCCAGCCCCCGAGCAAGGCCTGGAGGGCCTCGCAGATGATGACGCTTTTCATCTTCCTGCTTTTCTTCCCGTCCTTCACTGGAGTGCTCTGCACACTGGCCATCACCATCTGGAGGTAAGGCACAGTGGAACTTCGCTGGGCTTTTAGATATTGGGTAGTTGGGTTTGTTTTAAAAAGTGGGTTTTGCCAGGTGCATGATGCATGCCTATAATCCCAGCTACCGGGAGGCAGATATAGGAGGATTGAGGTTTAAGGCCAGCCTGACAAAAATGTTAGTAAGATTCAAAGAACAAGCTGGGTGTGCTGGCACATGCCTGTCCTCCCAGCTATGCAGGGACGTAGGTAGGAGGATTGTGGTTAGAGGCTGGCCCCAGGACAAAGCGTAAGACTATCTTAAACACAGCTGAGTCATTATCATCCAGATATGGTGAGGTCAGCTGACCTGGAGATGGTGGCCATTGAGATAGTAGTTTGTTACTCACAGTTCCCAAGGGGAGGGGACACTCCATTCCACACAGGGGCCACATGAGAGACCCAGGGTGGGTCAGGAGGCAGAGGGAGTGAGGGGAAAGCATGGACAAGAGCCTTGGTGTGGTTTCCCTGGTAAGGAACAGGTGAGGCAAGGTAGGCAGGCTTAGGATTGGCTAGGCTGAGTAATTGCAGCAGGCTCTGAGATCTTGGAGCTGTCCTGTGTTGTCTGGGGGTGACTGGAGCAGGAAGCAAGTGCTGTGAACCTATTTTTTATTTCTCTGGCTCCTTCTGTATTTATTAATTGAAATTCTGTGCACGTGCCTGACAAAGAAGGTGGCCTTGGTGAGGGCTGGCGGTTGGTTGGTCTGCATGTACAAGTCACGCTCTGTAGACTAGATCTGGAAAGGGCAATGTCCCAGGGCCAGGCAGGCCTCAGATGTCAAAGCTATGCAAAAAACATGCTTACTACAGAGTTCAATCCATGCGTCCTTAGGAGCCCTCAGACACGCCAAGTCTGGGTTTATTGCATGCCCCATAGTCAGGAGCAGCTGCCTCACTTCTGCCAAGTGCTGGAAGCTTCCCAGAGGAGAACAGGATGTCATCACAGTTATCCAACAGGCCCTGTCTGATCTGGCTCTCTTCTCCTCAACCTCACCTCCTTCTGCCTCCATTGCACTGCAGCCCCCACAGCTCTGGCTCCACCCCCACACAGGCAGGGTCCTCTCTCTGAAGGACTCTCCCCACTCCCTTTGCCTGGCTGTCTTCTGTCCACAAGTCCATGTCTCAACTCCAAGGTCATCTCCAAAATCTGACCTTCCCAGTCTGCTGTGAGTCCTTAACTCTTTTCTCTCTGAGATTTGAGTTTCTTTCCATCATTCCGTGGTTCCCAGTCACAAATGCCTTTGCTTGAGTCTTTGTCTGATTGTCTCCTCATCAGTTGTCCATCTGAGAGGACAAGGACTAGGTCTGTCTTGTTAAATGTGGAATCCCCAGGGTCTGTCTAGAGCAGTGCCTGATAGAAGGTTGAACGAATGAATGAACGAACAAATGAGTTGATTTTTAGAATACGAGTGGAACTGGAACCATCAGAACTTCAAGCAGTTTCAGGGTAGGATACCCTTTCACGATGTCCTTCTTCTCTTGTCACATCTACTGTCCTCACTCTCCCTGACCCTCTGGTTTTTGTTCATTTATAACCACCCGCCGCACATGCTCACATCATCACTCTTCTGCTGCCGTAGCTACTGTGCTTCCCTCTTCTTGTTTCATTTTATTTTTTTCTCCATCTTGGTGTTTCTTAATTCAAGTTCACAAGAAAGAGAATCTGATTGCCCCCCAGATACTGCAGGATCACTGCCCGGCCTTTGGATTGGCTGTGGTTGGGTCAGGTGAGACTTCCTGTCCACTTCCAGTTCTAAGAGTCAGTTCTTGGAGTGGGGGGTCATACTAGCAAGGGGGTTTCCTTTGAAAGGGGAGTATAGGTGGAGCAGGCAAGAGTTGCTGTTTCCTGGTCCCAAGCCCAGAAAGGGCACTGATTATAGAATGCCAGAGACAGTTTTCATCCTTTGTGTTTCCAGGTTGCAACCTTCAGCTGACTGTGGCCCTTTTCAGGGTCTGCCTTCCTTCATTCAGTCCATCTACAGCTGGATTGACACCCTGAGTAAGAACCCTGGCTACCTGTGGGTTGTCTGGATCTATCGGAACCTCATTGGAAGTGTGCACTTCTTTTTCATCCTCACCCTCATTGTGTTGTAAGTGGGGTGCCTCGGGAAACTAGGAGGGAAGCCAAGAGCTCTTGGGGAACCCTTCACTGATGAGACAAGACCAACCCTGGTGACGTTTGGTTGGAAGGCTAAGAACTACAGCATGACTCTGGACTCAGAATGCTCTTCACTCTACCTCAAGTGGTAGTTTTAATACCTTCTGGTTTCTTGCATGACCTCCAAAGAAAAGGATACCTGCCTTACTCTCTCTTCTGAGCTAGGAGAATAAAATAAAGAGTGGCTGTAAGAATGCTTAGGAATGTAATATTTGTGACCCTTGCTGATACTGCAATATGAGAAAATGGGTTGATCATTACTGATATGTAGGATATTTGGAGCAAGCTTTTTCTCACTCCTGGTTATTACTGAACCTAACTGTGCCTAACTGAGTGGTGACGGGAGATGCAGAAAGGACACAGGATAGACAGACAGACAGAAAGTTGGGGCCAGGTGTGTTGGGTACTAGGATAGAGACACCCAGCAGCCTCATTGCTTCTTTTCTCTGTTATTCTTTTCATTTTATTCTGCTTCTTTTCTCTATCTTTATTCTTTAAGGCCTTACTCCTTTACAATTCTTTGAAACCTCACTTCTAAAGTCTTCTTTTCTGTTCTTCGAAGTCTCTTTCCTCAGACTCACACTGTCCCATGTTCTCTCTTAGCTTTTCTTTAGAATTATCTCTCTTAAAGTCTTTGCCCTCAGACTTGCACTGTCCCATTAGACTCGCACTGTCCAATGTTTTCTCTTAGCTTTCTTAAAGTCTCAGTCCTTAGACTTGTACTGTCCCATGTTCTCTTCAGCTTTTCTTTAGCTTAGCTTTTCTGAAGCCTATGTATAAAGTTCTCAGTGCAGACTTTCTATCAACCCTTCTTTAGCAATTCCCCTTTAGCAATTCCCCTTTGGCAATTCCCTTTCAGCAATTCTCCTTCAGCAGTTCCTTTCCCTTCAGCAATCCTCCCTCCAGCACTTTCCCTTCAGCAATTTGTTTTCCCCCTTCAGCAATCCTTTTCCCTTCAGGAATTCTTTTCCCTTCAGCAATCCTTTTCCCCTCCCAAATCCTCCCACATCAAAAAGCCAAAAGCCAAAAGCCAAAAGCCCAAAAGCTAAAAGCCAAAAGCAAAGTAAACAAGGAGGTGGAGCAACAGCCCTCGGGGAGGGCGTGACATTGTAACAAGAGGAAACTTCGATCTGCCTCTCTGAAGGTGAACAACTTAGGAAAAGCATCTGTGCTGCATTTTCCTCTTCTGCGGCTGGGGCTGTGCCAACCTCAGCCTGTAGAAACATCTTAGGAAAAGCAGCTGCTCTGCATCTTATTCTCACCTTATTCTGTGGCTGGGGCTGTGCGGATCTCAGCCTACAGAACACTGGGTACAGCTGTGCTTAGGTCCAGTTCTCATAGGCTTCTCATAATCCACTCCCCACAGATATTGTGTCTTCATTTTTTAAAAAAGATTCATTTCTGACTTCCTGTGAGAAGCAGATTTGCAAGCACTGGGCCTGTTTTCTGTCATGGCATGATTGGTTGGTTGGCTTCTGTTTAGAGGTTGGCCTTGACGTCTCCTTGTAGAAGAAACCCAGCTCAAAGGCACAGATCGTTGGAACCAGTTGATGTAGACTGTAGAGCAATTGCTCTATTTTACAGCTGGGTTGGGTAAGACTTACAGAGAGAGGGTGACTGGCAAAGACAGCTTCCAGGATGCAGAGCCTGTGAGAGTCAGAAGAGGCTAGCACTGGGTCTCCTGACTCCTGGTTATCCCTCCTCCCCCACACCAGTTGCTTTAGAATGATGACTTGTCCTGGCTCTCGAGTCCTCCAGACTTCTCATTCCCTCAGTCTGTGTGTGCTCATCACACTTCTGGCACCGAGATGTGTGGGAGTGGTGTTTCCTCCCACCAACTAATTTTCCAAATCTCCAGACACTAACTGAGTGTCGTACAACTGAATTCAGTTGTGATACTGGATCTGGATTTAGTGTCAGACCCCACAGGTTAAGGTTTTAGTCCTGCAAGGATGGCTGTACTTTAAATGCTAGTTGCAAGTCATCTACACTGTGATTGACTAGCTATAAATTCAAGAGTTCCCAAAAGCAATTTCTCAGGTTCAATAATTTACTGAAATGATTCACAGAATTCAGGAATGCTCTTTCCTTACTGTTATCAGTTTATTTATAAAGGGTGCAACTCAGGAAGAGCCAGATGGGGCAAGCAGTGAGGGCGGGGTGGCATGGACATTCCACACCCTCTCCTAGGTGGACACAGTTAGTAACATCATTGGTTGCTTGTATTTAATTCAATTTCTAGCTCTCTTTCCTCCTCAAGGTTATAAGCAGGCAGGGACTAAAAGATCCAGCCCTTTCATCATGCCTTGGTCTTTCTGGTGACTAGCCCCAGATCTGAAGCCATCTAGGGTCCCCTGGCCACTTGACATCTCATTCTTATTCAAAAGACACTCACCACTCTGGAGATTCTGAAGATTTTAGGAGCTGTGTGCCAGGAACCAGAAACAAGGACTTGCTAGATGCATTTGTCACACTGGAAGTTTGCTAGAAAGTCAGAATCTCAGGTCCTACCCAGATCTACTAAACCACAATATGCTTCTCCACAATGTTCCAAGAGACAGCACGGTCCAAATTCACAAACTCTAGCTGCATATTCGAAATGCATGCATTTTGAAAATACTGAAGTCTAGCCGGGCACCCAGAGATATGCCAGTAGTTGATCTGGTGGGGAGGGGCATGGCATGGGTCTTAGTCCCACCTCCCAAGTGAATTCAGGTTGAGAATCCTGAATTTCAACTGTCGGCCTCACATGACTTTTCAGGAGCACATTTGCAAGCAAATACTGCCGTTTCCTTATGCCTGACTAAATTTGGAACCTCAGAGCATTGGCACCAGGAACCAGAAACAAGGACTTGCTAGATGCATTTGTCACACTGGAAGTTTGCTAGAAAGTCAGAAAGGAATGTCTGTCATTCTTGTTTCTTCTCTTCCAGGATCATCACCTATCTTTACTGGCAGATCACAGAGGGAAGGAAGGTCATGATTCGGCTGCTGCATGAACAGATCGTTAATGTAAGTTCCTTTGGGCCCCTCCCTTATCCTCTGCTTTCATACTGGAAATTTCCAACATCCTCTAAAATAGAAAGAAAAAACAGTTCAATGACCCCCTGTATCCCCACCACACCGCCCCCAACAGCCATCAACATTTATTTACTCTATTTTCTTTTTAATTCTTTTTTTTTTTTTTGAGACAGGGTCTCACTATGTAGCCCAGACTGGCCTTGAACTTGCAATCCTTCTGCCTCAGCCTCCTAAGTGCTGGCATTGCAGGCAAAACATTTATACACACCAGTGTACATTTTGTGTATGCTATTTTTTCCCGGAAAAAAAATCTCTGAATTATTTTTAAATTAACTCTTATGCTTTTTATTGTTTTTTATCTTTTAAAACTTTTATATGCAGCTCTATGAGTTAAAGACTTTTTCAAAATGTCACTACAGTATTATCATTGCCACTAAAAGGAATATTCACTGCTACCTTCTAATATCTATTCAATGTTCAAATTCCCCAATGACCTACTAAGTGTCTGAACAAGGGCTTCATGTTACACTTGATGGTGATACCTAATTTTCTTTTAGTGTATAACCACTTGCCACCTCCCACTTTTTCTTTCCTTTTCACCGTGGAAGATTCATATCTGCATATATCTGACTTGCAAGATATTGTTTAGTTGTTTCTTTCTTTCAACTTTTTTTGGCTGTACTGGGGTTTGAACTCAGGGTCTACACATTGAACCACTGTACCCGCCCTTTTTTGTGATTTTTTTTTTCAAGATAGGGTCTCGTGAACTATCAGCCCAGGTAGGCTTTGAACCATGATCCTCCTGATCTCTGCCTCCTGAGTAGCTAGGATTACAGGTGTGAGCCACCGGCGCCCGGCTCTTTCAACTTTTTGAATTAACTTCTGGCATCTTTTGACATGACCCCAGAAGACTGTAATATCTTCCTTTGCTCTCTGAAGAACAAGATATTCCAGGCTCATTTTTGTTCATTTCCTGTTCCAGCACAGAAATCAGCCATTTCTTCAAGGAGTCTTTGTGAAATGGTATTTAGACACTACAGTCCAGGCACAGGGCTGCTCACGGCTCCTGGGCTACTTCCCTTTTCTTCTAAATACCAACATAACCACGGAGGGAAAGCTTGTGTCTGGAAGCATGGGAAAGAAACAGGAGTCTTCCCAGGACTCTTCTACTTAAGTCTTTGGGTTTTCAGATCGTTTGTGTTGGTAGAAAAAGGGCATTACATGAATGAATTATTATCTTTCCACTCCTTGTTCCCAGAAACACAGGAAACTTGAGTTTTTCTGATGCAGAACTCTGAATGGCTTGGGCAAGTTGTATGAAGAGCTCTGCACTTCAGGTTTTAACTAAACCTTGAGTTGTCAGGCTTTACCCAGTGCTGGGCCATCTGCAGAGGGATATGGATGTGACATCACTGCAGGACTGCCCCCTGGAAGTCTTGCTCACAAGATGGACCACAAAGGCAAAGACATTGTCTTGAAAGAGTTTCTAATAGACTCTGCAGCAAATCTTATCAAAAAATAGCCACCTACATCAAAAACACCCAGATGCTTGTTAAAAACACAAATTCCTGCTACCTCCCTATCCAATGAATATTGGCAACAGATAACATTTGCTGAGCACTTAAATGATGCCTGGTATCATGCTAAATTAAATGATGAACAAAATAGAATGTTATTTTAATTCTAATTACCTTCTCTGGGGCACAAACATTTCTTTAAACTCCCATTCTATAATTAAGAAACCTGAGACTTTCCTTAGGTCACCAGGACTAGTAGATGGTAAGATTTGATCCAGGAGACTCCAGATTTTGTGCCCTTAACTACAATGAAGTTTTGCCTTTCTTCTGGGCTCCGGAAAGCCAAATTTACACTTTTTATAGTTCACAGTTGAGTGTGAAGAACAGAGATTTTCAAAACAAGCTGAATAGATCTGAGGGCTTGCAAAAATTTTAATCCCAAAGACAGCTCTTAGGCTGGCAGAGTGGCTCAAGTGGTCAAGTGCCTATCTGGCAAGCATGAAGCCCTGAGTTCAAACCCCAGGTCCTCAAAAAAAAAAAAAAAAAAGCCCATTGCTATCCAAAGACAGCTCTTTCTTACAGAATAATTTCAATTAATAAATCCAGAAGTAACCAGGGAAATAGAAAATAGTTTTCAAGCCAGGTGGCTCATGCCTATCATCCTAGCTACTCAGGAGGCAGAGATCAGGAGGATCATGGTTCAAAGCCCGCCTCTGGCAAACAGTTTGAGAGACCCTATCTCAAAAAAATTCAACACAAAAAAGAGCTGGTGGAGTGGTTCAAACAGTAAGAGTGCCTGCCTCCCAGGCATGAGGCCCTGAGTTCAAACCCCAGTACTTCCAAAAAAAACAGAAAACAGCTTTGAAGTAAACACCACAGTAATATTTGTTATAAGCAAGATCCATTGGTAGATGCTAAAACTAGTGGATAAAACTTGAGAAATAGACACAGAAATGGGAAGGCCAAGCCTGACCTAGTCACCATGCAGGTAGAATTTTCTACTGTCTTCTGCCCCCGGGAGCTCACAAGGAGGTGATCAGACCCTTCCTCTGTTCCTCCTTCCCACTTTGAATCATTGGTCTCTGCCAACACAGATAACTCTAAGCTTTGGCATTCTCAGGGCAGACCCAGGTAACGCTAGGCCCACAGAAATGGGTTCTGGAGCAGAAGGGTGGAGACCTATTGGTGTTCAGACACTAAGTTGTCTGGGCATGCAGGTTGCTTCTAGCAGCAGACTAGTGAAGGCCACTGCTCAAACCTGCTGGAGAATTGCTTCAGATTATCTTGCAGGAAGGCTCTGGAGGTCATTGCCTTGGCTGTCAAATGTTTCTATATCAGCAGAAAATATGGCGGCCACATCCATCCAACTTGTGGGAACTTTTTTTTACCAATTGCTTCTTAACCCTACTCCATCGTTCCCCTTCCATGTTTTTATTTTTGTTTTCCTTTTTGGCAGGAAGGCAAAGATAAGATGTTCCTGATAGAAAAATTGATCAAGCTACAGGATATGGAGAAGAAAGCCAACCCCAGTGCACTGATTCTGGAAAGTAGAGAGACGGAGGTGAGGCCAGAGGCTGCCTGTGGACCGCTGAGATTTACACTTACCTCCTGGTGAAAGTGCATCAAGGAACAGAGCCCACACTCTGGGAGTCACATAAGGCGCTTCACTTTCTGCTAAGCATTTCTGTTTTTATATTTAAAATGCAAATTATTCATTTAACACTTTCCATGCTGGCCTTGTTCTAGGTGCTGGGTTAGCTCTGCCTGCATGGAGGTAACATTTTGATTTTGGTGGTACCAGGATTTGAACTCAGGGCCTTGGCCTTGCTAGGCAGGCACTCTGCCATTTGAACTACTCCACAAGCTCTTTTTGCTTCAGTTAGTTTTTGAATAGGGTCTTGTGTTTATGCTTGGGGCTGACCTGGACCACTATTTTTGTACTATTTATGCTTTCTTTGTAGATGGGATAACAGGTGTGTACCACTGTACCTAGCTTATTGGTTAAGATGGGAGTCTTGCTAACTTTTTGCCAGGCTGGCCTTGAATTGTGATCCTCCTGATCTCCACCTCTCAAGTAGCTGGGATTATAAGCATGTACCACTGCTGTCAGCACTTAACATTTGTTTTTTATAACCCTGCCATGCATAAGTATATTCCACTGAGAGGAAAAGTGCCCAGAAATCTCACCCCGCTTTTAATTAATGATCCAGTGTGTGTTCCCCCAATTCTTTCCCCTGGGCATCAGCAAATATATGTGCATTTACTAACACTTTAACTTAGCATAAAAGCAGGGCTATATTATACAAATAGTATCATAATTTTTCTTTCCACTTAACACTGTATGTCAGATACTATTTCATTCTTGACATTTTGGACATTTGTGTTGTTTCCAGGTTTTTTAAGTACTAAAAGCAGTATGGAAGGAAACATTTTTGTTACAATATAGTTGTTATTATCATTATTATTAATCCTTTGTGGTTCTGGGGATGGATCCCAGGGCTTTTCACCTGCAAGGCAAGCCCTCTTCCAGTGGGTACACATCCAGCTGATTCTGTTATGATTATTTCATATGAATATTTCTGCATAGGACATAATAGACATTGCTGTATTGTTCTCTTGAAAAGATTTGACCAATTTCAGTCCTACCAAGAGGGCATAGAGGTGTATGAAATCACAGTCCTTGCTGTCCTGGAAAGCACAGGTACACAGAAAGCCACCTTAATTCAAATGCTACTAATCTTCTATCTGTGCAAATTGATATTGTAAGCACATTTTAGATAAGGGATCTAGAGACCCAGCTCAGATCCTCTGAGGCCAGGGACCACATCTATATCCTTGTCCCCCCAGGTGCTAGAATATCACCTTGCCTATTGTGCACATTTGTGGAACAGATGAATAAATAAAGTCACTGTCCCTAAAAACCAAAACACATTTGATATTTCTGTGGCTGAGTTTTGGTCTTAACTATTACCCCTTAACTTTAAAATAAGAAGTTGTGGGGTGGCGGGGGGGTGGGGGGCTCATGAATTATACCAAGTATTCCACAAGATCGAGCAGCTACATTCTTTCCCATTCTCTTCTTTTTCAGCAACAAGGCCCTTGGCGTTTGGGGGAACATGATGTCTCTCCTGGTAAGTAGTGGAGCTGCCACAGAGTAAGACAGTTATAGCGGGGCACAGTGGCTCACACCTGTAATCCTAGCCTCTCAGGAGGCAGAGAGCATGAGGATTGGGGTTTGAAGCCAGATATGCAAATAGTTTGTGAGACCCTATCTTGAAAAACCCATCACAAAAAAAGGGGCTGGTGCCACCACTGACGAATGGATTAAGAAAATGTGGTATCTATACACAATGGAATTTTATGCAGCCATGAAGAAGAACAAAATGTTATCATTCGCTGGTAAATGGATGGAATTGGAGAACATCATTCTGAGTGAGGTTAGCCTGGCCCAAAAGACCAAAAATCGTATGTTCTCCCTCATATGTGTACATTAGATCAAGGGCAAACACAACAAGGGGATTGGACTTTGAACACATGATAAAGCGAGAGCACACAAGGGAGGGGTGAGGATAGGTAAGACACCTAAAAAATTAGTTAGCATTTGTTGCCCTTAACGCAGAGAAACTAAAGCAGATACCTTAAAAGCAACTGAGGCCAATAGGAAAAGGGGACCAGAAACTAGAGAAAAGGTTAGATCAAAAAGAATTAACCTAGAAGGTAACACCCACGCACAGGAAATCAATGTGAGTCAACTCCCTGTATAGCTATCCTTATCTCAACCAGCAAAAACCCTTGTTCCTTCCTATTATTGCTTATACTCTCTCTTCAACAAAATTAGAAATAAGGGCAAAATAGTTTCTGCTGAGTATTGAGGGGGTGGGGGGAGAGGGAGGGGGCGGAGTGGGTGGTAAGGGAGGGGGTGGGGGCAGGGGGGAGAAATGACCCAAGCCTTGTATGCACATATGAATAATAAAAGGAAAAAAAAAAAGGGGGCTGGTGGAGTGGCTCAAGGTAAAGGCCTTGAGTCCAAACCCCAGTATTGAACAAAAAGAATAACACAGTCATTGTCCAAGTGATGCAACCCAAGGTGGAGGGTCAGAAATGTTCCTGTATGTTTCTCATTCAGTTGCAAACTTGACCCATCATGAATTGAGCAAAAATCCAAGGATGATTCTTGCTTGAGGCCTGTCCTTCAGCAGAAGGTCACAGTGTCAACAGCACCTCCTTTCTCTCTTCTCAGTTCTTTCCCATGCTCCCTAATAGTTACAAAACAGCTTTATCAATTTCTTCTGTCTTCTCAGGTTCAATCTACAGGGAAAAGGTGGGGGACCCAGAATTCTTATAGTGTCTCTTTGGGTCTGATGGGGCTGTGTGACCATCCCTGAAGCATGAACTATGGCTATGAACAGGTGTCGAGTTCCTTGATAAGATCCGAGTCACATGACTCAGCTGTAGGTTCAGGTGATGCAACCAGGCAGACCAGAGACAGAGTGGGGAAGGGTGGCTTCCCAAGGAAAATCTGGGGTTTGTGCCAGGGGGGAAATGAATGGTGGGCAGGAAACAAACCAACCCACTTGTTTTGGGATGCCAGCATTTAATAATGATGTCATGTGATGGGAGTCCACAGGGAGGATTACAAAAACTAAAGAGGAGGTGTAAAAATTGTGGGGTCTTCCAGGCCCAGTTGGTCTTGCCCTTGTAGTGACAGGGCATCTGTGTCTGTACTAATGTCTCTTTCCTGTGTCAAACTCAGACCTGCGATTTAGGCGATCAGTTCAAGAGGAAAATCCAAAAGCCTGAAGATGGTTGTGGTAGCCAGACAGCAATCAGAGAAGGAAAGATTAAAAATTGTGTCTTCCACAACATCAGAGTCTCTAAGAGCTTCCCAGACAAGAACCCAAACCTTTAGTCAAGAGTGAAAAATGAACTTCAGTGTCAGCCAAAGCATGCTTGCTAATTTTCCAACCTTATTTTTCAAGACAAAAATATTTGGAGTTCTCCAATAAAGACTGTTGTAACATTGAAATCACCTCAGGAGTCACCTGAGAATGGTGTGTTTATCTTCGAGAACTGTGAATCTGATTCTCTCTTCCAAGATCTCCAGCCCAGGCAAAGATTTAGAAATTGGTGCTAAGAAAAGTGGTCCAGAACGAATTTTTAAAAATGTGATCCTCAATCAGGGATGTGAAGCATGTGACTTGTGTAGCTTGTGTTTGTGACTTTGAACTAAAATCACTGTGTTACCTAAAGTGGAAAACATATCTAGAGGTCTTATCTCTGAACTTTATTGCATCTGGAGTACAGGAGTCTTTGGGTTTGGATCAAAGTAGCAAAAGCTGGGGGAAGAAAGGAGGAGCAGGCCCCCGAAGTCTTAGGCTGAACCAAACACCAAACTAGTGATGGTGTGTGGAATGTGTGCAAATGAAACCATTGTGTGTGTATACTTTTTTTTTTTTTTTCGGATCTGCCAAATGAGTCACAAGGCATGTGACTGTTCTTAAAACTTAAGGGTTCCTAGATTCCACCTACTAAAGGTCCCACCACCTTCTAATAGCACCACGAACTGGGGACCCCGCCTTCAATACAGGAGGCTCCGGGCAGGGAGGGGTGACGCTTATCCAAATCATAACATTTCCCAAAAAGTGCTCAAAAGCTGGAGCGCCCCTGGAGTTTGGGGAACAAAAATGAGAGCTTCGTCCTTCAAGTCGTTGTGAGGCAGGCTGAAAGTTCAGGACTCATAGAAAAATATTACATTTCGAATTCTAGCTCAGGGACCACCCTCACCTGGCCCCGTACCCACCTATGTCCCTTCCCAGTCATTATTACTGGATGGGAGTCACCTGGTTCCTCACTTCCCTGAGTTCCCTGAATAATTACAAGATCCCAAGTTCAAACCCAAGCATCACCAAAAAAAAAAAAAAAGGTTAGCATAGGTTTTAAAAGCATCTGAAAAAAAAGAGAAGCAGCTCTCTCTGCCTCTAGCTTCCACCTGGGCCCCCCATGCTCTCTTTTGTAATTCCCTTCCCTAACTTTTAATAAACTCCATTCACACCCATGTGTCCTGTCATGGATTCTCCCACATGGACACAAAGACTTTGGAAGTCTTCTGATCACAGAATACACCCACTGGCAACAGTTGCAGAGAATGGCAAGTTCACACCTGTGAGTCAATGAGACCATATGTGTGTGAAGTTCAATCATAAAAGAATTGCACATGTGTTGAGGACAGATGGTAAGAATTAAGGGAACACTCATTCAGTATGGTAGCATGTACCAGTGCACCGTAAGTTCTCAGAGTTGGGGCTGTTTCACAGCACTTGTGTCTGATCAGCTGTGAGACAGATCCCTGGGGAGCTCAGGTGTTGTTCCCTCTGTTTTGCTCACGTTTGCACCTGTAATGTAAAGAGTAACGGCTTAGCTGCTGCGAAAGGTGGCTCACGCCTGTGATGCTAGCCACTTGGGAGGCTAAGATCAGGAGGATCTCGGTTTCTGGCCAGCTAGGGGAAAAATGTTAGCAAGACCCCAGCTCAACAGTAAAAAGCTGAGCATGGTGGTGTCCACCTGTCATCCCAGAGATGGTGGGAAGCATAAATATGAGGGTTGAGATCCAGGCTGGCTTGAGCAAAAGCAAGACCCCCACCTCCAAAAGAACCAGAGCAAAAGGGGCTGGTGGAGCAATTGCAAGACCCTGAGTTCAAACCCTAGCATCACAAAAAAAAGAAAAAAAGAAGTCTTACATGTGTGTAGTGTTGACTCCCACACATCCCTGAGGTATAATTTCTGGCTTTAATCACCTGGGGACCTAGATATTCCACAGATGCTGACTTGTGAGATGGGAATGGGGCCTGACAGTTTGCATTTCTAACTAGTGTCTCCGTCTGAGGACCTCACTCCCATTTTATTTCATCTTCCGAACTACATGCTTTTCCCAAACTTTTCCACTTTTTCTCATGCACAATTGCCACTTGACAGGTGCTGGGAACTGAGGCACGCACAGGGTTTGCCTGAGGTCTCTGAGCTGGAAGGGGCAGCACTGAGGCTTTGGACTCCTCAGAGGCGGTTGTAGCTGTTTCTGTAGCTCAGAAGTCTCAGGATGTGGAAGGGCTCGTGGAACCCTGGGCCCCAAGTGGAGTTCCTGATCAGTAGTTCTGGGGTGGGATTTGGGAATTTGCATTTCTTAGTTTCCCTGTGGTACTGATGTGTCCCCTTAAAGGACAACATCCTTTGAGAAGCATCCCAGTTGATGTCTGTCCTTTCTCTTCCTGACATTTGGTGTATTGATTATTCAATTTTTTTTTTTGGAAGTACTGGGGTTTGAACACAAGCATTCTACCATTTTAGCTACACACCTCCAACCCTCTTTTGCTTTATTTTTTGATGGGGTCTTACCTTTTGCCAGG